TTTGCAAAAAAACAAATCAAGAGAGTCCAGTTATACTACTACAGGTAGCTCAAAATCTTCAAAGTTCTTATTTTAAAAAGCTTTTAACGCGCTGCGCTCTTTACCACCAATAAGTTCTATTTCTAAATAATTCAAATATTTAAAAAAAGAAAAATACATTATGCTCATCACATATTTCATAGAATTACTATCATCTAATTACAGAAGTGTCATTTATGGCACTGTAGTTTTAAACAGAATAAGGTTTTGCACCTAACATTAGATCCAAACTATGGTATATAAGAAAAATCCTTCCCAAAATTATCTCACTTACCATTTAAGTATCGAATGAATTCTAAGCACTTACAAGTAAGGGTTAATACTTATTTCAAAAATGGGTTTTCTCTGAAATATAGCACTTCACACACATTTTATTTTTTTTTCCCTTGAATGACCTTACTAAGGAAACAACACAGATTAACCAAACAGCTCAAGCTAACTAAAACACTATGGATAACTTCTAAAAAAATATTTTTTTTAATCTTCATAACCAAAAATAGAACTTCGTGCTACTGCAGAATTGTTGTTAAACTGCCATTCCCAAATTTATTTTATCTCTATTACCATTGAACTGTAGAGTCATGTTGCATTTGCAATTAAAGTACCTACTTGACTGCTGTCAGAGGGACTAGATGTTTATCTTCATAGGCTGACAAAATAAAATATTACCATCTATAAACTCTGGGAATTAGAATTTAAGACCACCTTATAGGAAATCCAGATAATTAAGGTATTCAAATTGGCTACTGATTGGATGCATCTTCAGGGCCTATTTTTGTCAAAGACAAGTAGCGTTAGGAAGGCACAATTCTAATTGGCCACGGACTTCCATACCAGTTTCAACAAAAATCTAGAACTATTCTGGCCCCCATGGGTTTTGTATAAAAATTGGGTTATGCGCATATTGAAACTATGACTATGCTATCAATATGAATAACACAGCAAGATTCAAAGGGATGTTTACTAGATAGCAAGACTACCCAGTAATAACACTGAAGATCAGTTTTGGAGAGAATACAAATCTCATGCTTTGGGGTTGAAAAGCAGTCCATAACCACCCACATTTGGGGAATAATTCTGTGAGAAGAAGATTAATTTGGTGCTTCTTGAACCTTTTCTAGGGTACCCAGTTGCTGCCTACAGCTAAAGAAAACATACCGGACGTCTAGTGAAGTGCAGCTGTTACTATGCTTGTAAGTGAGGTCTTGATTTCAAACAATTTCTGCATAAAGTTATTAACATCATGCTCTACAAATTCAACCTTGTGATTGTTCGTCAAGAAAAGCTCAAGTACTCGGAGACTTATTTTCATGAAGAATACGGACTCTATGTTAAAAAACCTGACATCTTCATTCCTAATCAATTTTTCCAAACTGCGTCATCCCCTAACAATCAACCTTCTGCAAAAGTAATAAAATCACCGTTTTCTCCTTTTATGTTCTTTCTGCTCAAAGTTCTATTCAAATGATTTACAACATCCTAACTGGGATCTTCTCACTTCCTGTATTAATAGGGGATCTCTCCCAAGTGCTGTATTTTAGTTTCTATATGCTATGGACAAACACAGGTGAGCCTAAGAAATCCTTGCCAGAAAAAAAAACCAAACAACATATATACAGAGGGAAACTATAAAGGAGCAAAACCAAGGAAACTAGGTCTATCCCCATTAAAATTCATATAGACTTTACTAACATACTCTACTGGATCCTGCCTAGTTTTTGGCATGATGCTGTTATCTTACACAATCAACTCAATTAATGTGAACTGTAATCGATATTTTCATGATTTCCACTTGGATACCCAAATCCCAAGAGCAGCCCTAGATATAACATAAACTATACCTCAGCTTCCTGTTGTCACAAAATACAGTTCTGAAAATTTCACATTACATGAATACTTTGAAAAGCGTGCCACCGATTAATTAGTACAGTTACCAACATATACATTTATCATGCTTAAAAAAGGCCATAGCTATTTCATATGTAATAGTTTCAAGAATATTTCCTTTTTAGTCTTTCAATACAGAAGATTACATGAATGATTTAAATATAAATGCTAAAAGTAACTCATTGCGAACATCTCAGTGTAAAATGAAATATTCAATTTAATTCTACTAAGTTCTAACCTATATCTCAAAAAGACACTGTGGTAAGAAGCATCCTAAAAATGTCACAAAATGAAGAGACAGCTTTCAGGTGCGTTACTAATGAAATCGGGTGCATTACCAATAAAACCCTTGTTTTGGTAGAGGATTGGATCTGTGGTTTTAGTCAAGCAGACCTTCCACAAACTTCAGAAAGGCAATTTATTTAAATAAAAACTGCAGGGCAAGGGCCTTAAATTCTTAAGTATGAGTCAGCTTTTAGTTTCATATCTAGATGAAGATTCTATAATCAGCAAAGAAAGGAAAACCAGTTTGGGGTGCTACTTAGACTGTGAGCCCATCTGCCTTCATCCTGCAGATCCTAACAAAAACTGCCATTAGCTTTACTCAGTGTGCAGCAGGATCACAGATGATGGATCCTTAAATATGCAGTCTATATAACTTACATAACTTAACATGAAAATACACAACTGAAATACCTGAAGTTCTACGCAACAAAAGCTTCAGGAAGACAAAGCTTGCATGTTACGTGTCTTGATGTTTTTTTTTTAATTTAATTCAAATTGATTGAGGTACAAATTACGGCTCGGATCCTGCACCCTGAAGCATTCAGGATGAAAGCTGCGCCTGCGTCGAGTCCTGCTGCCTTCAGTACACTTGCATAGTACATAACGCAGGATTGGGGCCTGTGGCGTTTTGTTGGTTCACTTAAACATGCTTGTAATGTTACGAAACTGTAATATAGTTGATTAAGTAGAGCTTGTTGAATAAACATTGCAGTATTTTATGAGCACATAATCACCAAGTATTTTGGAAGTTTGCTTTTAGCATACTTTTGTATCTTGAAAAAAGGAAGCTGGTGTTTTGTATACTACAGAGTAGACTTCTGCAGTACCATGCATTCACAAGCAAGTGCTGCTGCAAGAAACCAAAAGCCTTCCTATACAAGTATTTACTTTGTTGAGAACCTTTTAACATGAGAGCCGAGACAGGCAAATACTGCCTACTAAATGTTCTCAAAATGACATATTCCTATATACCAAGTAGATTTATTTCCAAGTAGATCTATCAGAACATAACACTGCCTTCAAGTAATATCAAGACAAAGAAGGGAAATAAAGGGGATTAGGCAGAAAACTAGTTTCTTTTCATCTTATGTTGCCTATTTTTGCAAATATACCATGCAAAATAAAAATATATCATACTAAATACAGATCTTTGGCCCTGTCAAATGACTTAAACACGAAGAACGATGTTGAGTTTTAGCCTTACTTAGAAGTCTTAGAATGTCAGACCTTCTAACGATACTTTTATGTACCTTGATTATTTGCACTATCTTTTTACTGAAGTGACAAAAATGGGAAATCACCATACTGAATACCTGGAGTTTCACAAAATGCTAAATTACTGTGTTCATAAGCAAAAGGAGTCAAATTCAACCCTGGGAAACAGGTACGACTCTAATGCACTGATCGCTGACACTCTATTAAACTACAGAATAATTTGACTCGAAAGGCCTGAACCTGTTTTGGTTCAGGATGTCAAAGAACTATAAAACCTCCAGAAATTAGAATTATGTAGACCCTATTCCAAAAGTCTCTGACTCTTTAAGTTATGGGGATTCATCCTTCTTCCCCTAAACTCTATTTAAAGAGTTTTGACACTAGCTGTAGCTGAAAACCAAAAAGAATTGAATCATGATATCTGAGATCAGGAAAGCTGTGTGTTTCACAAGAATCAGATCTGCACACAAACTGTCTTACAGGCTTGTCTTGTTTGTTTATATTTCTTCCTTCTTCCCAAAACACAAAAAGAAATGAGAATGTGCTAGAGTTGGCCATAACCTAAACTTTAAATCAATTTGTATCTGGTTAATAAAAGTATACTTAATAGATGAAATTCCTTTACACTTAATGATGTAAATTGCACTAATTAAAAATTCTGGTTTTGAATCTTCTAAGCAAAACAAATAAGCAAACAAAACTTCTAGTAAAGCCAACAGAATTAATAGCAAAGTTAAAGATAACAGCAGAGGATCATAATACAGTTTTTTGGTTTTTGTCTTCATTGCAAAAGTATGATTTTCATATTCCAGGGTTGGTCAGAAGTACCAAATAGTATGCACTGATTTTACTTGTGCATTTAATAACACCACTGAAAGGTTTGTTGCAGAAAATAGTTACAAAACATAAAACACACAGGGATATCTTATGCCTCCTACTCAAAGAAAATTCCCACTTGAGGACCTAAGCAACACATAAAAACCAATGCCAGACAAATATGGCAACTTTTGGTATTTATGCTGTCCCACTAAGTTTACTGTCATGAAATCATAATCTTCAGTACTAATGCTAAGAAAACACCCTGAATCTACATCCAATCCCTCACAAATAAGTGAAGTGCTAGGTTCAGTAGTCACTGCACTGTCTTTTATTTCTAGACTGTGCCTTTTTCTTAAAAAAAAAGAGAAGGAAGAGAGGATGAGAAGGGTGAGGAAGGGAAGTAGATATATACAATTTTGAATTTCTAATAACTTGTAAATGTTATCTGTACTAGCACCAACTGATTTGCTTTCCTGCCCACAATCTTGTTACTAGTTTGAGGTCCAACTGTGAATTTAGGATTTGGCACTGAATACTGAAATCAAGATTTTAATGAATTTACTGACCATCCCAACTCTGCAGCAGGAAGAAAAAAACCAACCATCAACGAGATCTCTGTCTTTTCATTCCAAAGTCCTTATACAACCACTGCAGTTCTCAAGTAAAAGGCTTATTGGTATCACATTACTGACACCCCCCCCCACCCCAACGTAGCTTTTATTATTTCCATAGTAAAAAAAAATTACAGCCCTTACCTTACAAATTTGAAAATAATCTGAAGTGAGCGTCTCCTGGATCTCATCTCTGGGTGTCCCTGCAGCTCCTGCAGTCCCTCCTGGGTGCACGGAGCCACCACCAGCCCCACTTCCACCACCACTGCCACCACCACTGCTTCCACCAGGGGATGAAGCAGTTAAACCATCCAAAACTTTGCGAAAATTAAATTTCTTCATTTTGGAAAAATCTTTCGGAAGATTTGGGGAGGGAGAAAGGATGTGTCGTAACGCATTCAGCTACATGTAGCGAAAGAAAAAGTCTTTAATGGTCCTCTGAGTGAGGCAGCACTTTAGTCCCTTGTACCAAACAGAATGTCAGTATTAGGTGTAATTGATCGAAAAATACAAAGGCTTCATTTTGACAGACGTAAAAGCTACCTGTAAAGGTCCTTTTAAAAAAATAAATTAAAAAAAAAAAAATCCACAAGCAGCAGAACTAAAATTTACGTTCAAACACGGAACAATGGAACAACCGCCATCGGGTTCTCTCACAAAATCCACATTTAGCAGTGGTTAAAACCGAAAAGTAAATAAAAAATTCAGGCCGGCATCCGAAACAGGAGGCTCCATCTCTCTATCCTTTCTGCCTAAGATGTCCCTTCGGCGCTTTGGCTGTTTGAACAAAACTAGAGAAATTCGGCTGCGTTCAATTCCCCCTTCCCCTCACAACCCTTTCCAGTCAGGGGTGCCGTTGCCTCCAGGGTTCCCGGAGGAGCCGATTCCCTCTCCCCCGCCACCGCTCTCCTCCCGCAGCCGCTGCCTCCGTTACCTGCCCACCCGCCGCTCCC